AAAAAAAAAAAAAAAAAAAAAAAAAAAAACCTAAAGCAATGTGGTATTTTTGATACAAAAATCTATATCAACTACGAGATCCGATCAACCTTGTTGAGATCGGAACTGATGTGTGCGTGATTACGATAATCAGCGATGGGTGAATGATAACGTTAGAAAGTAAATGACAAATAAAACTTTTAAAGTGGTTCCGCGAAGTTAACAGCCTACGTCCACTGTGTTTTTCATATATGTTGTGAGAGCTAACAATGTAGTTTTAATCCAGAATTCGTATCCCCTTCCTTATCGTTTTAGGGGGTTTATATATAAGATTTGCATAAAGGAAAGAGCAAAATTAAGGGGATTACAAATGGTTTAAATCATAATTCTGATATCTTTGCAATTGAGCGCTATATCGCACAACGACAACTATTGATCCAATCATTCCTTCGATATCCAGGATCTAAAGTAATCTGGAGATTGATTAATTAATTTCTCGGATTGTCCGCGACTAGCTTGTGCTGGATCGAGGTACGGCTCGACGAGCTTATACTGGGTCGATCAGTCATAGTTGTCGAGATCATTTTGGGTCGAGCTACATCCTTACATTGGCCCAAGCTTGGTGGAGAAACCACACACAATAGGTATTAAAGTCTAAATTTCCATACTAGTATGGTCTTTGTAATTTAAGGAAACATAAAAGGGTCAATTGTAATTACACTTGTCTAATATTGACTTGACCAAAAAGAGTTTGAAAAAAGATCTAGCTGGCTCAAGTTTGACTCTCCTTCCCACTTAAAGTTGAGACCTAAATGATCGTTTTTATATGATATTAGTTGCTTACAATTAATGGATGAGGTGATAATTTTGTTATATTTATTAAAACCTAATAATTTAGTTCAAGAGGTACCAAACAAATGCATCCATTAAAGTTTTCATTAATCCTCTTATTCTTCTTGATTTATTTTCTTTTTCTCATCTTAAAAGTTCCCAAAGCTACTTATTGTCCAACTCCAAGGTTCCCCCATCCTTAAGAAACATAGTTGTCAAAATTCCAACACTGCTTGTAGAAGATAAGTAATAATTAGGGTAAAGACTTAGCAAGTTGATTAGGAGTGTTTGACGATGGATGGAGAAGAACCATTTGATCGATTTCTTAATACAACAATTCATTTAAGTCGTCTTTTTATTAGGCTAAGAATTAGCCAGTTGACTAAGAATGTTTCAAGTCGGAGAAGAACCATGTGATGAGTACTTATACTTTCTTATTGAGATAATTCATTGTCGTCTCTATGAAGCTTGCATATTGCAGGAAGACTTTACCAGTCCTTTCTTTTGTTAGCTTTGGGGATTAAACTATTACTTTTTGAAAGACTGGGACCAGAACAATTTACCTAAACTTTCAAGATCTCGCCATTTGGGGATCAATCAAGCATCAATTCAACATTCTACAACAAACTTCGTCGTTTAGTTTGTGAAGATGTTAAATGGGTAATGGCAATTTGTGAGCTGTGTCAGTAAATTAATGTCCTGGTCACAGAGACTAGTTAGTGTTATTGGTAATGGTCCCCTTATTTCTTTTATGAAGTGAACAGTTTTGTTTGTTTTGTCAATTAAGCAAGGATGTTTTGAGAGTAAGGTAGGTAGGATCACTGTGAGAAGATTTCGAAATTAGACAAGATGGAAAATGCGTGATTGTCTAAAGTTCTAAACAAAAATATGCATGTGCATGATGAGTGCATCATATAACTCTCTGTAGCAGTCTTGGTCTCTCCCCCATTTTTTTTTTTTTGGGTCAAATTTAGCAGAACCTTTGGATTGAATTCATGCACTAACTTTCAAGTGGAATAAAACTAGTTCCCAGTCTTGAAAAAGTAGTATTAAAAAGAAAAGATAATAATAAAAGTCAACTTAAAAGGAAGTACAGACGAAGGTAGTTCGGTTTTAAGGATGAAAAAAATAAAGCATTGGGTGGGATGAGAACCGAGTTAACATTGGATTGAACCTGATGGGATTGGAATACGTAGGGATGAGCATGGGTAAAGGATAGCACCGGGAATTTTCAGATCCAATTTTAGTTCCTATAGTGCTAGAACCGAGAAGCAGAATTGGAACTAAGGTCCAGGTACCCGAGTAAAAACAGAATTAAATTATAATTTTGTAAACTTTTGGAGGTATATTGTATTTTTTTGGGGTATATTTGTCATTTCAAAAAATAGGGGTAATTAAAGTTTACTTGGTTTCTCGAAATTAGAAGCTATGTTTCAAATTCCGGTTCCAAGTTTCTAGAAACCAAAACCGACAGTCTGGTTCTGATTTTGGTTTCAAATCTTAAGAATCGACCAGTTTCGATTTCAATATCAGTTCCTTCAGAAAATGCATGTTACTCCAAAACGAACACCCCTAAGAATACGTTTGTATAGCCCATCTACTTATTAGCCTATATTAATTTTTAAATAAGTAATTTAAATTATTAGATAATTATTGACTGAATTAATAAATTAATATGCAATATACGTTGTCGGCCAATCAAATTTGTCAGCTGGTCACATATACAGCTGGTTAGAATCTACCACTAAATGCAGGCTAAGAACAAAATGAAGACAGAATCGCTTGTGAGAATGTTATTGATTTATATTATCAAGGTTCATTTCTATCAGTAATCTGAAAACAGCAATTGAAATTACCATATTTCTTAACTTCAGTTCATCTTACATTTCCCAACAAAGAGTTCTGCTTTATCTCTTAAAACTTCCATTAACATATGCACTTCGAAATTTTAATTCATTGTACATTTCATAAATAATAGCAAATGCACAACAAATACGCCCGACACTTAGCCACCGCAGCAGGAGCCACAAGCAGGTAGGGAACCTATAATTTATGAATAAAAATCACTAAATGTAGAGAGAAATAATGCAAAGAAAATTTATTGCAATTCGAAAAATCAGAAACGTGAAAAGAATGGGGAGGGAGAACTCACTATGGTCATTCCCTCTAACATCATTCAGCCCTCGCACATTATCTAGTCCTCGAGGAGGTCCACGTGGACCACCACCGTATGGACCACTTCCAGGACCTCCTGGGCCGCCACCATCCCATTTCTTGCTAGCACCAGAGCCCTTTCTGTAAGCATCTGACTTTTCCATCTGATAAATTCACGATATTGTGAATGTAAATTTATAAGACAGATGCCAACTTATATTACTGACGTACATGTGTATTAACCAACATTACAAAACCATGACATTACCGAAAACATAGTTGCAAAAAATACGCATATGAAATTGACAATGCCCCAAAAGAAATCTGTGATTGTCCTCAACCGCCAAATTGATCGCTTAGATTTCACTTCACCTGAAACAACATTCATAAAGTTCACATTCAAATCCATTCATAGAAGTGTAAATCGCGAAAACATGGCTAAGGTCAGCCTCAAGAGTATTTTAGAGTACATTTCAATGTGGAACATAAGCTCTTTAATTAAGAAGCATAATTAAGAAAACCAAAACACCAGAGAGGAACATAATGACAGATAATAGATAGCAGATGAATTTTTACAAAAGTAAAGAATGATAACAGAACATTTATCATTTATAGCATTGATATGACACCAAAGAACAACCCTGGCTTGAAGCCTTCCGAAGAGAAATGAACATACATTGTATTAGTTTGATACATGTGAGACAAGATAGGATATTATAGATGAAGGAACCCAATGACTTCCACTCCATCAAGGTTTAACTCAACTACCGAATGCAGGGATAATATATTAATCTTTGTCCTCAAAATGGTTTTGATTCTGAAACTCTACATGTAAATGGATTTAATCATTCAATGCTCAGACAGTAAAAGCCTAAGGTTCCAACCGGAGGTGCTAATGTGAAAGTACCAGTCATCGCTGAAAATTAAAAAAATAAATGCAATAAACATGATTTCAAGACATTCTGATGAGCAAGCAACAAAGACACAAGGATTCATATCATTACTGGCTTGATGGTTTGTTTAACTCGCACAATAGAACAAACAAAAAAAGAAACATAACCACCAAACTGCGCAAGAAACAGTACCCATGTTTGCTAGAACAAGACAAGAAGAAGCTATGTGAGTGGGTATATTAATGTGTGTTTTGCTTTAGAAAGAGGGGTGGAGAGATGCTTGAGAAATCAATTAACAGTCATCAAACAATTTTTCCTTTGTAACATCGCTATTTGAAACTTTAAACCCTCTGAAATACAGAAATAAACTTAAGCAGCATATTCTATAGTGGCATGATGAGGTGCAATAAAAAGGATATGAAGGGAATAACTGCATGCAGGTAGAGCTCCCAATAGAGTCTAGTGGCATACAGAAGCTAAACATGCTGGCCATTGGTGGCAGATCAACATTCAACAGGACTCAGTACAGTACATAGATATTTAATTCATTATGCAAATACTTAATTGATCCAGAATCAAAATCAACAGTCAAGAACAGAAGTTGAGAGAGAGAAGAAGGAATAAACCAAACTAAGAATATATACAATTAAAAGCACAAAATTAACTATAAGAAATTCAACTAAAAAACAGCAAGTAAAATACTGTCAGGATTCACAATCAGGTAGTAGCTTCAGCAATAAAGGAAACATATCCCAAAATAATCTAAGAAAATGAGTACATATTATGATGTATTGCAAATTTAAACCTTATCTATCATATCATAAAAAAATTACAACCACGAAATACATAATATCAGCCTCACTATATTCTATTTTTCAGTTAAGATGTTTTATTACGAGCCACTGATAAAAAATCTCAGTACCAGATCTGAATGTAGTTAATATATATATATATATAAACCTAATACATTTCACGCGCGGAACTGAGTCTAGTTCGGGTCAATGCCAATCATTTCCTCTTACATTCATATTATAATCAAAACCCCTCCGATCAGTAAGTCTAATTCAGGTCAACGCGATCGTTAAATTTTATGGTAATACGAGAAACCCTCGATTAATTTTCATCCCATCCCACAATCACGCAACAGATGCACAGACCAAAACACCCAAATCTATGTCAACCACTAATTCAGAAAATAAAATAATTTAGAATTCATAGAAATGCTCGGTGAACGAACCCCTAAATACATGAGCGTTCAAGAGATTCTAATTAACGATCTATAGGCACAAAGACGAGAAAACATAACAATAATTTGAGAACAAAAACAGGATTGAAAACATCAAATGATTAATCGAAAAGAAGATTTGAAAGAGAGAGGAAAAGTCCTGACCTCGCTCGATGTACGCCATGGGAGCTACTCTAGAATTCTCTGTGAAAAAAGAGAAGCAAAAAATAGAAAACTCCGGCCTTTTATGTGATTTTATGGCTTACGTGTTCGGTTGATTTTGATTGGCTAATCAAACTCAGTTAATAGCTGTTGTGAATTTGGCGTGTTTTGATTGGATGTTTCAAGAATTTACGGTGTTAGGAGAGCTCGAGAACCCCATTTTTAAATTAAGCTAATCTAATGTAGTGTTTAAACTATAAACTATAAGGAAGGACTTTTTTGGTTTTTTTTTTTTAAATGATCGGTCGATCTAATGTTTTAAGGTAATTCACAAATATAATAAATGGTTTCAAAATAATTTGATATTAAACAAACCTTCTTGATTATCAAATTAATTCTTTAAGGTTTGAAGAAGTTACATATTATAAATAGAAAAATCTATTATAATAATAATAAAAAAAATTATTTGTTGCAGCCAAAAATTTGTTTTGGTACTATTATTTAGCATAATATTATAGTAAATCCTCAGAAATGAAATTTTTGGAGCACTTTTTGAATAGCGGGTTTTTATTATATGGTATGGTTGGTCCTCTAGACTATGAAGGTGAATTTCTTCAAATATTTAAGGGGCGTTTGGTTTAGGGAATGTTGAATTACTGAAAAGTTAGATTACCTTGAATATTATTGGAAATCTTTAGGAAAATGTGTTTGATTAATTGGTGGGTATGTTATATTAATATGTTTGGTTGGGAAGAATAAATTTGTAGGTATGTTATTTAAATTACTGAATTGTCCTCTAATTAAAGATTATTATTATATTATTTTTTAATATTGATTATTATTTGGATTATTATAACCCTCCTGCATTTGAAAATTTAGCCAAAACAACCCCATAATAAAAGTTTGGAAAATCAACAAAGCACCCCCACCAACTCAGCCATTGCCGACCGTCGGTACCCACCGTAGGTCGCCGACAGCCGGTAGCCTAACGGCGCACGGAAGGTAGGAAATAGCTTCCGTGAGCCATATGGCCATTTCTGGTCAGAGATCTGACCGGAAATGGCCAGACGTGTCAGATCTAGTCGTCGACGGCCAGATCGATGGTTGTTAACGGCCATATCGACACACGACCACAATTTTTGACCTTCCATGCGCCGTTCTGGCTGCGGCAGCGGCTGGCTGCAGTGGTGGTTGTCGGTGGCAGGTGGGTGGGGGTGGTGGCTTGGGTGGGCTGCAATTTGTTTTGAATTCAAGGGTAATTTTATCCAAAAAGTTAATTAATTGGGGTGAAATAGTAAAAGTCATGTAAATAAATTTAAAAATAAGGACATTATTGTCCTAAAATTTTATTAATAAGGGATATAATTGTAACAAAAAAAAGATTACCCTAATAATCTTAGAATATCTAAGAAAATAGAGGTAATTATATTATCAACAATAACTACTATTGGTATTTGAAGATTATCAGAATCCTATATTACTTGACAACCAAACGTGATAATCAAGTAATATAAGATGACATAACTCCAGTAATCCCAAGTTATCCCCACCCAAACGCCCCCTTAGACTAATGGAAATTAGACAATTTAAGTTAGGGGGAACGACTTAAACATACCCAAGGTTTTACGTAATGACAAGTTGGTACCCAAAAGGTTTGAGAAAGACAAATAGATACTTTTCGTCCTGTACTGTTATAGAATTCCGTTTTATAATAGTGAAAAGACTAAAATGCCCTTTGAAGTTTGACATCTTAGGTTTTTTATTAATTTATCACTAGTCAACTAATTCAATTACATAAATACCCACATCATTATGGTGAATTACATTATGCCCTCATGTTGCAAGTGACCAATTTATCCCTGTTTTGGCAGAAGCAGTATCAATATACTCAGTTGTGGCTGAAAATTGAAATTTTTCATAATTTAAAAAAAAAAAGCATTCATAATTAACATCAATTCAGTATCAATTAAGTCTTCATGGTTTAAACAGAAACCATGAATTCAATACATGAAAATGTGATATACAACTAAAACTTCAAACTTCAAATTAGGTTTGAAAAACTGAGCAATTTCCAGATGCACACCATAGCTGCAAAAATAGGCACAAAATTGTCCTCTTCTCCATCCTGCAAATCCAAAATTCAACAAAAATCATTTCCAAAGATTAAACAAATTCAACAAAAATCAGCCAAAATTCAGTATATTAAACCAGCATCAAGCAGCAAATCATTTCCAAAGATTAAACAAATTCAACAAAAATCAGCCAAAATTCAGTATATTAAACCAACATCAGGCAGCAAATCATTTCCAAAGATTAAACAAATTCAATAAAATCAGCCAAAATTCAGTATATTAAACCAACATCAGGCAGCAAAGCATCTTTAAAATTAAAATGTATTCTCTTTTCCCAAAATCAACACAAACGATTCACAAGCATGGGTAATGATCAAGTCTAACCCATTCATCAATGCAAATTATGAAGATATATAGAAATTATCTGACATGTGAGAACTTGCCATGAGGTTATCAAACAACTGATAATTGTCAGAGATAAATACCAGACTCTTTCCTCTTTGAAGATTACATCAGCAGATACAACACCTATGGATGAACACATTGTATCTGCCTAAATTTCATTCGGTCAACAAGGAAAGCATAAGTTTGACTCATATGGTCTCAAATGTTGATAAACTTCAGAAGTAACATACTTTAGGACTTAACCAGTGAATTAATCAAACTGTTTTATTAGCTGCTATTCTTACCTTTTCAATTATTATAAATTAAGGTCGCACAATCAGTGTAAACCTTCAGTGGTGTTCACTTGGCAGTTTGGAAAAAAAGTTATAGATGTCACTTTCCATTTCACTAAAACTTTGTTTCTGGTCTTTCTGCAAATCTTGATATTAGCAGAAAAGTAACAGAAGGGAAACCTCTTCTGTTATATTCAGTAAGCTTTCAATTCTAAAATTGGGGGTTTGGTCTAATGGTATAGGATTGACATTAAAATGAGGATTAATAAAGGAAAGAATCAACTTTGAAATAAGAAACCAATGAGAATCACTTATCCTCTTTCATGAGTGCCCATAAAGGCAAGTTCCAAACATTCTTCTTAGCTTTCTCTGGAGCAATTCACTCCAGGCACTTCCTTCTAACATCTCCTAAATGTTAAGTTTGATTATAAACCAAATTAGATTACATTTAGGCACAGACGCACCTATACATCTACATGCAATAACAACAAGAGTTCAAACTTAACCATTCTTAAAAACTACACAGAATAAAATGAAAAGCTTGCAGAATAGCAGAATAATTCAATGCAAAGTGAATGATTGAACACACCACCAGCAACTATCAACCATGTCTTCCTAAAATCATGGTTGTTAAAGGTTCATTTGTCCTGTCCAATTGCCTTCAAATGGCAATTGGACAGGGCAAAGGAACATACATGTTCTATAAGTCAAACCAGCCCCTTACGTTTTCAATTCTAACATATTATGACAGGCATCAAATTGATAGAACACAACAGAATCTATCCAAAAGCTCAATCAAACTATAGAAACACAACTAGGTAAACAAAAAATGAAGACAAACATATTTGTGATACATGCAAAAGAAGTTCATTAAAACCCAGAAAAAAATCTACAAAATGCATGCATAAGATATAATCATAAGCTCAAAAACACACAGAAAACATCATCTGTCATAAACCCATCAAACACCAGACAAAAAAAAAAAAAAAAAAAAAAAATTACTATGGAGTTGTCCTCTAGTGAATGTGCAACATTTCATAATATGTGATTGCATCACAAGCAAACACGTTCTTGACCTCATCAAAACTAAAAGGATGGGGAAAAAGAGAGAGAGAGAGAGAGGTAGAAAAATGTATTAGCAATTACAGTAAGCAAGTACAGTATCCTATGTGTTTGATTACGGAAACAAATGTTTCAAAGGTATTCTAATGCATTAAAATATCATATTATAGCCATTTGCACTCAGATCAAGTAACAACAATCATTTAAATAGGACAATTTCAGATCAAGTGCCAAGAGAATTCAGGATAGTCATCAGTCTTTTATTTAAATAGTTTTAACCAAATTTGGCGTTGGTCATTTTGTTTCTTTTAAGTTAAATGCAAAATAAGGTTTTACGTACACAAAGTTCCCTTCTTGTTGAGTAAAACAGTAATGATGACAAAGGTTTTTGCTTCAAATTCTTTGATCTTACCCAGAAGTTGAGATTGCAATAGAAATTCTTTTTGAGAACATTTCAAATCATCCCATTCATCTAAACACATTTTCATCAAATTTTTTTATATCCACTGTTATTAAAAAGGCTATATTCAGTTCTACATTGAACATACACAAATGATGGAAGCTCATTCCAAGGCTCGAAAAAAGCCACCAGCAGAAGAACACTACCATTCAACTAAATTTATTAATGAGATGTTAATACTATTATTATCCAATGTTATGACACTGCAACCTAGAACAAAAGGCATTCAAATAAGATATCATTCCCTTATATTTTTGCTAGACACGCTCCACATGAACAGCAGAAATCCTCCCTCAAGGCTAAATCTATTCCATTTTCATCCTTCAGCCTAAGGCTAATTAAGAACCGAGGTTGATTCAAACTAAGTTAGATACAAAATATTTGAGAAAAGCTTTATTCCAATTGCAGCAAATTTAAGCATTCATCACTCGTTTTTATGCTTATAAGATTAACACATATAACAGATTTTTATACACATTGCAAAATTACAACACCAAACATAACCAGCTTTAACAAGGCATACATGTTGCTCTTCAAAATCAATTTCAAAATCTTTTTGTAAGTTCATCCTGCAACCCACAAATATATAAGACAAGCTATTCACACTCCCAATAATCAATTCAAGCAAACCAGCCCCACCGTTTGGCTGGATTTTATTCATTACACAATCCAGCATAAAATCAACTCTTTTAAGAACAAACCCTAAACCAAACAAACAAACAAAAAACCTTAAAAACAACCAAACATGCAAAACCAAAAACATTCATTATAACCAAAAACCAAACAAACAAACAAGAAACTTTAGTTTAGT